CTATCTCAAATGATTAAAATCATTCTCTATCTCTATTTTTCAGGTCTAGGGCTAAACTCAGTAAAATGGTTAATCCTAGACTAATGTGGATTGCAGATCTCCATCTTTTTTTAACTTTTCATGCATCCAGTTCCAATCTCCTCATTTGTCATTTTAATTCTTCTGAAATTGTGGTGTTCCATGATTCACAAGTGTAGTATCACTGGGAGGATACTTTGATATTTACCTACCTTGCTGGTGATTTTATCAATGGTTACTTCTCTCAGTGCTGCAGATCACAACCTATCTATATTTTTCCACTTTATACCTCTCTCAGCCATGTCTTCTGTGCAGCATTGGGAAATCATTAGTTTTAAAATGCTGAGCTTTGATGGAAAGGGACAGCTTACGATTACTAAAAGGTTGTACAATTTCCCAAGTGCAATTCAGTTTGGCATCCTTTTACTGCTCAGTTCTGGGCCAAGCTCATTGTCCATTTATAGCATTCATCTGTCTGATGGGGGTGCCCAGCCAGCAACATGTCATTGTCATGGTGACACATGTCATAGACACAATGTATATTTTCATCTAATTTGTTCTTTTAGTGTGAATGGTTGGACTTATCTCTTCCACTTGATTTGAGTATAATTTACATAATTGATTTGTGTACATATATTAGCTTAGATGATATATCACTTTGATTCATTATCTCATTTAATATTCATTTTTTAAAAAAACATGAAACAAACAGTACAGGTATTATTATTCCCATTTTTACAGAAGAAATTGGGGTTGAGAGGTAATTTTCCCCAAATTATACTGCTAATAAGTGGGAAGGCCTAGAGTCAGTGTTATATAGTGAAAAGAAAGTTATATTTGACTTGGACAATTCTGGGTTGAAATCTCCATTCTGCTAATTTACTACCTGTTTGACTTGGGGCAAGTCACTTAAACTCTCAGCCTTAGTTCCCTTAACTATAAAAATGGGGGTGGGGGGGAAGGTCAGACTATTCAGAAGTTCCTAAAGTGAGTGATATGGTCTCCTTGGGGGCACTAGAACAATCCAGGGGGGCAGTAGTAGCCTCATTTGTAATTGGGGGACATTGAAAAAAAATAAAGAGGCAGTGGAAGCATAAGGAAAGAAGAGAAGATGAAATTTTGAAAAACTTTGTATATGTTTCATCTGTTGTACAGCACAGTTAAAGTCATAATGATTACATTTTCCAAATAAACACACAAATGCAAGTTATAACCAATCAGTGGTCAAATCCACTAACAAGTGTTGGCAGGTAACCCTGTCATGCATTGTTGGGAAGTCCAGCATGCATTAGCAGGAATATGTGTGTGCAGTGACTTGTTTACAATGCGATACCATAGGGTTACATTTTGCAATACTGCATCATCAAAATTTCAATGCAGGAAAAAGCCCACAAATTTACAATGAATTATTAAAGATGTGTCATTTAAAAATATATATATTTTTTGAATAGATGCAAAACTTTAAAAAAACATTAAAGGGTTAAAGAGAGTAGATTTCTAGAGGGGTGGGGGTGCTGAGTATTTTTTTTAAAGGGGGCAGTAGGCCAAATAAGTTTGGGAACCTCTGGACTAGATAATCTCCAAAGTCCCTCCTATGATACTGACTCAAATCTAGATCTTCTGACTTCAAATCCAGTTCTCTTTCTATTAAACCAAACACGGGAAATGATATAAGCAAGCTACTCTTTTTTAAAGTTTTTATTTATTTGTTTTTAGTTTTCATCATTCAGTTCTATAAGATTTTGAGTTCTAAATTTTCTCCCCATGCCTCTGCTCCTCCCACCCCAAAACATCATGCAGTCTGATATAGGCTATACATGTACAATCATATTAACCATATTTCCACATTGGTTATGTTGTAAAGAAGAATTAGAACCAAAGGGAAAAACATGACAAAGAAGAAACAGAGAGAAAGAGAGAGAGAGAGAGAGAGAGAGAGAGAGAGAAACAGTATGCTTCAATCTGCATTCAGGCTCCATAGTTCTTTCTTTGGAAGTAGATAGCATTTTCCATCATAAGTCTTTCAGAAATGTCTTAGATCCTTGTAAGGCTGAGAAAAGTCTATCAAAGTCAGTCATCACATACTGTTTTTGTTACTGTATACAAGGTTCTCCTGGTTCTGCTCACTCCACTCAGCATCAGTTCATGGAAGTCTTTCTACGTTTTTCTGAAGTCCACCTGCTCATCATTTCTTATGGAACAATAGTATTCCATTACATTCATATACTGCAACTTGTTCAGTCATTCCCCAATTGATGGGCATCCCCTCAGTTTCCAATTCTTGGCCACCACAAAAAGAGCTGCTATAAATATTTTGTGCATGTGGGTCCTTTTCCCATTTTCATGATCTCTTTGCAATACAGACCTAGAAGTGGTATAAGCAAGCTACTCTTGACTTTTTTAAAGAGTAGCTCACTTACATCATCTCCTCCTTTCTTTGCAGCTCCAGGTATTTATTACCCAAAAAAATTAGGTAAGGAAAGTAATGACTCCTATTTATATAGCACTCTCAAAATTACAAAGTATTTTTTCTTCACAACAACCTTACAGCACAGGTAGTATATAGCACTATTTCCAGTTTATCAGTTCAATTTCACAATAGCTCATTTCAATGGCACTTTGAGAATTACAAAGTGGGCCATGTATCTGTTATTTACATCTTGTTACTCGATCCTCTTTCATACCCAATAGAATGTGAGTTCCTTGAGAAAAGAGACTATTTTTCATTTTCTTTCTGTCTCCAACATGGTATATTCTTAATATACTCTTGTTGGTTTGGACTGGATTCCGTACACAAACCCAAATGGGTTTGTATCCTTACTTAATTTTATAGAAGGAGAAAGACAAAACTACGGCTCAGCAAAAGTAAGTGACTTGGTTGTGGTCAAACAGTTGCTAAGTGTCTAAAGCAGGACTTGAACTCAGCTCCCCTGATTCTTAGTTTATTACTCTTTCTCACTGCCCCACAGCTAGAAATCCATTTCTATTCTTGGCACACTTTACTGAACAGGGAAATAAAGCCACACCTAGATTGGAATGCATTTGACCCATTCTATAACTTTCTTTTTCACTTGACACTATCCTTGTTACTCAGGAAATATTTAGACAGGATCCATCCTTGCCTGAATGAGTAATCTAACCACTGAAAGGCTCATCTTGTGAATCTATTTATTCCCATCTCTCAAAAGACATTATGAATAGCTATGGTCTATGACATTTTTATTAAAAAAATTAAAAACTTGGACTCATAACCAAGCCACAATTGGTTAGGATGTTGGAAAACTAGATATTGCGGAGTTGAAATTTCCACAACCTTGAGAAAATTATTTTTGCAGAGCAATTTGCAGAACAATTGTTCAGAAGGTCAATCCTAAGAGTTTCATCAGGAAGGATTATACAATATGTCCAAGTGAAGCTAGCACCCATCCCTCCATAGGAACTCACCCAGAATTTTTTTTAAAAAGAACCTAACAGCTATCTAGATAAGTATGAATGATGATCAATTCCTCTGAATTCCCTAAAATTTAAGGTAAGGTAGTCTGGATAGTATTGGAAAAGATCCAAAACAGAGAAGAGAAGGAGAGTTTGGCCTCACTGTTATTATACTCTGACAATGGATAAAATAAGAAATCAAATCAATTCTCTGGCTGTTACATAGATCTAGGACATATTATGGAAGCCTAAAAAGTCCAATTTAGTCCAACCAGAGCAGCCAGCTGATCAATTCAATTCACATAGAATGGTGACAGGGCATGGTGAAAGTATACTTTAAACAGAGTCATAGGATCCAGATTGGAAGGGACCTCAGAGATGACCTACTCCAATCCCAAGTTCCTTGAGTAAGATTATACCAACATTAAAAACTACGAGAATACCTAGGTACCATAGGAGCAACTGGACTGTATGAGCAGTTGTGCCATTATTCCATGGTGTGAAGAAGGCCTTAGCCCAGGGTCTTGATAGAAATATGGATCCTTGTGCAAGACTGGCCAAAACCATATTGGTTTAGGTATAATGAATTTAGCAGCAGAGTGAATTGACCTAAGTAAGGCTCCCGTGTACAGAAATTCAAATACAGACTAAGCTGTTTTTCTGTGATCAGAAACCCCAATCCATATTTCAATAGGCATGTTTTAGAACTCCAGATATTTCAGGATGAAATTCACTTGAATTTGTGGTTCTGTGGTACCCAAACCTATTCATATAAACCTACCACATTCTCATTAAAATGAATCCTTGGATAAGACTTCCCATACCTCATCTCTCTACTCTTATTTCTTTTGCATCATGCTTTACAACAAATATGCATCAGTTTCTATTGAGTATATGATTCTTACTTTGCTCAAAGGAAAATTCAGAAATTTTATTCATTTTTTCCCACTGTATTACAAGGAATCCATGTGGCCAGGCATCCTTAAAAAGATGAAGCTTTACCTTTAGGGCCAGTCTTAAGCTAGTATGATTTCTCTCAGGGTATAACACATTCATAGGTCCAAAATTTGACAAAAATTAGAGAGAACATTGCTTGGGACTTAGTCCCAAAAGGAAGATCTCCTCACACAGTTCAGGTGGTCAGGAAGAGTATCCAACTCTGGGAGATGAGACTTGAGAGAGAGGATGAGTTCTCAGAGGATGAGCTCCCTTCCTTTCAGCCCTGTCTCAAAAAACCCATTGGTTTCAAAACCAATAGCTTTCAAAAGGTAGCACTGGGATGCCATTAATTTCTTCTATAGACTGATAAGAGCTGGAACTTAATGGGACATTTTTTTAAAACCTAGTGATTGAGAAGAGAAATGTTTTGTTTTGCTTTTGATAATTGTTCAGTATAATTTGTAATTGTTCTAGGGAAAATACTTTATAAACCTTAAAACACTACATAAATGTAATTAATTATTTATACATTTATGCATTTTATGTATTCATATTCTATAAGTCATTTTAGGAATGTGTTTGCCACATTTTCACTTTTGTTCTTTCCATAGGATGGTCCAAACCTGGACATGGGACATCTTCCTGTTTCCCAAGTACCAGACAATACAGTAAATCACAATGTTAATAAATATCAACTGTCTAAAACAGCAGCACTCCTAACAACATCATACTGGCTAACAATAATTTCTTACTTCTTGCCTTCATTAAGTAAAAAGAAGCTGGATCCCTTTCAAAACAGTTTGCTATGATAATTAAAAGGTTAAAGAACATAAAAGCAGTATCTAAATGGAAAAAACCCATCAGCTGATAGTCAAATTTACTTGGGTGAAGTAGCTCAAATGAACTGCTATTATATAGTTTTTTTTTTAAATTTTTATATTCTTCTTATGTTATATCACTCTTATAAGAGATGAAAAACTTTTAAGAAGAGTACATTTCTCATGGTAGCCTGAGGCTCAAGGCAGAGACCTGATTGGACAAGGGAAAGGCTTTACATGGTGTGTGGTTGATACTTTGGTTCAAAAGGAGAGGGGTAGGAAGAAAGAAAACAGAAGTGATGGGGGTAGGGAGAAGGAAAGCAGAAGTGATGATGGTGCCCCAGTGACAGTAGTGGGATCAACAATGGTAGTCTTCAAATGGCAACCACAGAAAGCATAGTAATGTGAACTAAGAAGAGAAAGAATATAAACAATAAAATTGGTTGATGAACCAAGTAAAGATCCAGGCACTAAATGAGTAAAATTTCCCAATATTTAATATAATCTAATTTCACCAAAAATTTTATGATACTTTCTCCACTTTGTAGGCATGAAGCATGAAGGAACTCTTATTTCTTATCCTATCTTAGAAGGAAAGAAAAATAAGTTGCACTTATTCAGAAATAAGTGCTGAGATTAATTTTTTATTATCTTCCTTTCCAATTCTGTCCTAATTTAAATATTCTACTTATTTAGGGTATGCTCTTTGGCTGTTATTTAGCATGGGGAAAAACTAAAAGTAGTTGTCCCTAGAAATCTCTAGTTAAAAAGAAATGCTAAAATATTTATGGCAACATATTTTGTAATATGAAATAACTGAAAATGAAGTATATATCTATCAAATGGGAAATGGTTAAACCAAATCACAGTAATGGTACACATTACTGTATTATAAATATAATGAATACGGAGAAGCATGGGAAGATTTCTATAGATTGATTCAATGTGAAGTAAGCAAAACCAGGACAATCAATATATACAATGACTATAATAATATAAACATAAACAACAAAAAAAAATTCATAACTGAACACTGCAAAATTATAATAACCAAGCTTGAAGTCAGAGAAGAAATATTAGAAGGCACTTCCAGATATCAGACAAATTGGGTGATTTTAAGGTAAAGTATTTCCAAATCTTAAAACTTAATTTCATTTTGGAGCACATAGGTAGATATCTATGGACAAGTCCCTATGAAGTCCCCCTTTGCCCTTCCAGAAGTTAATATTTCAGGTACACAATATAAGAAGATAACATTTTACTACTTGTAGAAGATGGCATTTAAATATAGTTTAGTGACCTTTTATAGACTAGATTATCATTTTCAGACTCTTCAGTTGTTATTTACATGATGATACTGAGTTGGCTCTTGCTAGAATTATTTTATCCAGAAGCTACTAGTCAATCTGGATTATTCCGTGGATAATCTAGAAGTCACTGGATTATCTGACATGAATGTGACTGTAGTCAAGACAGATTAGGAAGGACAAGAAACTGCTGGAATTGGTGAAAAACTGAAAGAAAATGGTGGTAAGAGGAAGAGTAACTAACCAGGAAACTAATGGCTTAATGGTTAAAATAGTAATTTAATAATTTACAGAATTGCAGAGTTTCAGAGAAGGAATGAATGTTAGAGATCATCTTGTTCACATCTCTCACCATATGAGGAAAGAGGCCTTTATTTCAATAATAACAGCTTAATATATAGCACTTTAAGGTTTACAAAGTCTTTTCCTCACAACTGAGTCCCCAGGTGGTTGAGGAGCTTGTAAGCTTTGAACTAAGACTCTCTAACTCAAGAGTTAGTGCTCCTTCTCTTGTGCCATGCTATTCTTGAGTTGGAGGACCTCTTCCCCTGACATTTATGTGCGACCTTGGACAGGTCACTTAACTTCTCTGGGCCTTAGTTTCCTCAAAGGTAAAATAACAGGTTTGAACTAGATGATCTCTGACATCCCTTCTGATGGGGTGAGCTCAAGCAGAGATCTCCCCCCAACCTTGTCCCAAAGGGAATCCAGCTCCCATTTGTCTACAGACCCCAGCTCCTTACCTCCCTTTGGAAGCCTTAGCCTTCACCTTTTGGCCTTACTCAGAAGCCTTCCAGCTCCCTCCATTACAGGCCCCATAAAATACTTAAAGTACTCCCCTTATCTCCCTTTGACCATTGCCTTCCTGTTCCCTCCATTAGCTATTCCCATTGTCTATTCAATCTCTCAGACCTCCCCAATTAGAATTCTTACCTAGACCCTTTTCCCAACCCCCTTCTCTGGCCACCCAAAATTACTTTAGTATTTCAGATCCACCTTGGCCCCCATTCAGATACTGAGAACCTCATGCTCAAAAGGTTGAGACTTTCTTATGCCCACTCCTACTCATGGGCATTACTAACACTCAGCTGAGACGCTGAGAATCTGTCATGCCCCAAAGTCTGAGCTTTTCTCATGCCCACTTGTCCTCACAGGCGTTACCTGGCCTATGTGATTTATCACTAATAAACTTTTCCTCCCCCAGCAGCACCCCAAAAGTCCTAGACTCTTCACCTTCCAGCTCCAGATTTCTGATTGTATGATTCCTCAGAGAAAGGTATAATGGATTTAGCTATCATTTAAGTAAGAATTTTAAATTATTATGCAATGCTCATTTTTACATCTGACATTTTTCTTTACAATTATGATTTCATAGCTTTATTTTCTTGTGACCTTTCCTTCTTATCTTTTAGCTACCCTTCACTTGACAGATCTACCCAATTTCCCAGTTTTCTTTTTCTTTTTCCTTCCTCACTGCTTTTTCTATTGTTTTTCCTTCTGAGTTTCTCAGTCCCTCTCTTCTCAGACATTTTTGAAATTCCCTTCCTTTCTTTTTCTACACAATCTTCTTTCTTCCCTTTATCTAGCATAAATACCTGTGTCCTGTCCACATTTATTTATTTTCTCTTGTTTATACCTTTTTATCCTTGTACTCTACTCTTTTATGTTCTTTTTAAATCTCACTGAATAAAAATTGTCATTACCCAAAATATTCTCTTATTCTCTTCACCCAAGCCAATTCACCCCACACATTGAAGAAACATAGACACTCATCAACCTCCCCTGCACATATATACACTCTCCCTCCTGTTGGAAATACAAAAATACAAATAGCATGAATAACATAAAGTACTTGTTAATGGCACAGAATCATATATTGCTAAGGTTGGAAGTAATTTCAGGGGCCATCTAATTGTCAATCAATCAACAAGCATTTATTAAGCATTAGTATGTGCCAGGCACTGTGCTAAATACTTGAGATACAAAGAAAGAGGAAAGTAGTCTGTATTCTCAGGAAGCTCACATTCTAATAAGGAAGTCAACTTGTAAATAACTAGGTACTTAGGAGATCCATACAGAGGAGATGGAAGGTGATCTCAGAGGGAAGGCCATAGCAGCTGAAGGAAGAATAAAAGTGAGATAGAGAAAAATCTCCTGCAGAGGGTAAGATTTTGGCTGAATCTTGAAAGAAGTCATGAAACTAAGAGGTAGATGTCAGGAGGGAGAACATTCCAGGCATGGGGAATAGCCAGTACAGATCTATAGAGTTGGAGATGGAATACCGCACATCTTGTGTGTGGTTTGTCCTTCATTCTCAAAGAAGACCATGACATCAGAAAGATGATGCCATGACTTGCAAGTAAATTAGATTACATTAAAATAGGGCTGGGCAAAGTCCACCAGCCTCACTTTCTTCTCCAGAGCCATCTGGGTCCAGTGGCCAGATATAGATCAGGACAACTGGAAATGGCCCTGATGCAGCACACAGTGAAAAATTTGGCCTCTTTAAGCTAAGGTCATTGGAGTTCTCACTTTGCCTGAAGGAATGCTCACCCCTTTAAACAAACAAACAAACAAAAAAAATCAAACTGGAAGGGGGAAACCTTCAGGGTTGTTTCTTGCCAAAAGAGAAACAATTACTATTTACATTCACTGGGGAGCCATCAGGGCCCAAAAAATAACCATTGAGTGGTGCTTGGGCAGGGACCTATTTTTGGCCAATTTATGGGAGCTAGAGTGAATTGGGTTTCCTACTCATTCTTTAAGAAATAAACCTAGCCAATAAAAGCCACAATGTCAAGATAGGCTTCAGCCATCAAAATTTACTTTTCTTTGGGCACAGTACCTAGGGCACCAAGGTGGCTCATGCATAGAGCTCTGGCCCTGGAGTCAGGAAGACCTGAGTTCAAATCCTGCTGCAGACACTTACTAGCTGTGTGATCATACACAAGTATCCCATGTGAGGAATCTAGTGAACTGTATGATAGAAGGCATAGAGGGGAGTAAAGTATAAAAGGACTAGGAAGGTAGGAAAGGACTAGATTGGGAAGAGCTTTAAGTGCAAAAGAATTTTATGTTTGATCCTGGAGGTTATAGCAGCCATTGGAGTTTACTGGGGCTAAAAGGTGGAGTGGAGATGGGGAAGGGGAAGGGAAAGGGAAAGATGTATAGACTTATGCTTTAAGAAACTATTTAGGCATTTGAATGGAGAATGATTGAGGTAGGAAAGGTTGAGGCATGAGGCCAATTAAAAGGCTACTGCAAGACTTCTGGTGCCAAGATGGTGGAGTAAGGAAGGAACCCATTGAAGCCCTCCCAAATTCCCCTCCAAACCATTAGAAAACCACCTCAGAATTGATCTAGGAGCAGGGAAGCAGCTTACCAACCTGGCAGGAAAGGTCTGTCTCGCTGGGGTGAGAAGGGAGCAAGGTCCAAGAGCAGCAGCAGCCAGCCTCACAACAGGGGCCTGCAGCAAGGCTCCAAGTCTGGGGCAAGCAACCAGTGAGGCCCTGCCCTCCTGCAATCCCCACTCTCAACAAGCCATCAGCAAGGCCTTAACCCCATCGCTGACCAGAAGTGAAGCCCTGCCCCTGTTGGGCT